CATTTCAACACAGGTGAATGTCTTTCCCCCACTATTTTAGACTCAAACTCCCATGCACATGCAATATATCATAAAGTTTCCAAGGCCACCATGTTTGTGCCATTTAAGGTCCATTCTGAGACATCTTAACAACTGGCTATACTCATTTCAACACAGGTGAATGTCTTTCCCCCACTATTTTAGACTCAAACTCCCATGCACATGCAATATATCATAAAGTTTCCAAGGCCACCATGTTTGTGCCATTTAAGGTCCATTCTGAGACATCTTAACAACTGGCTATACTAAGTATCTTGTATTCCTTCTCAACTACATTGTCTCCTCTTTTTCTGTTTTATACTCTACTTCTATTTTCCCATTTCTTGAAATACTGCAATATGATATTGAATGTGATAAAGATTTTGCTTACATTATCTCTGAGTCTTTGCAAAACCTTACAAAATTACCTTTCCATTGTACAGTTAAAAGAATTAAAGTTTCTCCACAACTACAAAGGAGCCTCAGGTCCTTAATATAAACCCTGATCTATTTGATGACAAGTTCACTCTATAAATCACTATATTGTGCTGTTTTCACTATCTATGGATTATTTTATGCTTGTATTAAAATACTATCTAATATACTGTTCATTCTGTCATGTTTTAACCATTGTCAGTATTGTTCTCTATCAATTTTCTACAACTCGCCCTCCAGCATGGTACCCCTCTGCTTGGATCACTCATCTAACATCTTCCGTTTAGACCGAATATTTTTTATTGTTTCTTTAATGACTTTGGGGTTCTACCAATAACCAAACCATACCATTGGGCAACTGATATGTACTATTCTATGAACACCTTTAAAGCCACTCACTCTGACACTTTGTATCACCCTTCCTGTTTCTTCGGTCCCATAAAGGCCAAATATAGGGCATTCTGTCCATTTCAGTACACATTATAACTTAGTATCTGTTTGAATGATCAAAAGGTAAAGGAAAGTTTGTGGTCATATTCATACACTAAGTGTCTTCATTACATTATTTAAAATTTTCTGCAATGCTTAGCAAATGGTATAGTCCCTACACATCTGAAGCACACCCATATTCCCATGTGACCTCAATGCTTTTGACCAAATAATCTATTCATCTTGGACTTTAGCCTCAGTGCCTTCTATAGAAATCATGATGAAATAGAAAGAGCAAATATGCTAGGATCCTGTATTCCAATATTTATATTCCACTTATCACACACAGTATACTAGTTGTGACCTTGGAAAACTCTCTCCTTTGATGTCATTTTCCTCTTGCATAGAAAGAGGCAAAAGCAGATATCTCAGTTTAATCTGGAGGATCAGATTATATATCTATAAACCTTCTAATTCTATAAACCTTCTATAAACCTTCTAATTCAAGCAATTCATTGATTTTAACTGAGTATACTCAACTAGCTTTTAAGTATGCCTGAAGAATTACTGTGTATTTTTTTTTTTTAAGATTTTATTCATCCATTTGACAGACAGAGATCATGAGTAGGCAGAGAGGCAGGCAGAGAGAGAGGGGGAAGCAGGCTCCCCGCTGAGCAGAGAGCCCGATGTGGGACTCGATCCCAGGACCCTGGGATCATGACCTGAGCTGAAGGCAGAGGCTTTAACCCACTGTGCCACCCAAGTACCCCTACTGTGTCTTTCTTTATTACTGTTTCCTTAGTGCCCAGGGTTGTGCTCAGTAGATCACTAGCCATTCAGTTTCACATGGTTATTGATTGACATACTAGCACCATGGGCTTAAGCATCCTCCCTAATCATATTTGAGGTCCTCACTTCCTCAATTCCCCTTCATTATGAATAACAACTATAACAGCTGGGGCGTCTGGGTGGAGCAGTCAGTTAAGCCTCTGACTAGTGGTTTCAGTCCCGGTCGTGATCTCGGGGTAGTCATCACAGAGTTGCTTAAGACTTTCTCTCCCTCTCCCACTGCCACCCTCCCCTCACACCCCCCCCCACATGTGTGCTGTCTCTCTGTCTCTCTCTAAAAAAAAATAAGCCTTTAAAAAATAATAATAATAATAGCTATAACATCAGCAACTATAGTAATTATAATAATACCTAAATTGGTAGACGAATTTTCAGTTTGTAGGGCGACTTACTGTTACATTATTACACAAAATCCTAACTGCCGTCTTTTGAGGTGCATATAATTAGCAAGCACAATATTTTACATCAGATTTTTTATTTTTTTAAAATTGTGGTTGTTATTGATTCCCTTGTATTTTCTCTTTTTGTTGTTGTTAAAGATTGGCAAATCACTTAAATTCTCTGAGTGGCAAGGTTCAGAAGCTATTAAGTAGAAAGTTAGTAATAAAATCTAGATCTTCTAAGTTTGAATTCAGTTCTCTTTCTGGCACATGTTGCACCTCTTGAATTCCCAACTTTCTAGGTCCAAATTGGAACACTTTTGAGTACCAATTTATATATTCATTGTTAGAGAGCCTGGATTGCCTCAAAGGATAGACCTCTCAAGAATATCTTAAAATCACTGTCATGTACTTCATTGCAGTACATATTTTTTTAAATATTTATTTTTAATTGATTCATAAAGCTATTGCTGAATTTCTTCACTAATGTATTAACTAATTCAACAAGGATTTTTTGTGATATTATTTCTTTAATTGCCATTTTATTCCTACTGTAACTCATTGCCCAGCATATTTTGAGACTATATCCTGGATCATTTTACAGATTCTGTTATTGACATCTCAAGAGATATTTACCATTATTCTCAATCATTCATCTTCCCTGGGCCTTATTTATTTATTTATTTATAAAAAAGTTTTGAGAGAGAGAGGAGAGCACATGAGAAGTTGGGGAGAGACATGTGGAGAGGGAGAAGCAGACTCCTTGCTGAGCTCAGAGACCAACATGGGGGCTCAATCCCAGGACCCTAGGACTATGACCTGAGCCAAAAAGAAACCACGACCTGAGTCGGATGCTTAACTCAATTTATTATGGAGTCTTTATTTCTGAATTTTAGAAATGAATTTTTTTAATTTATATTATTAAAAATAATTTAAGTACATAAAACAATCAAGCCCTAAAAAGTCAGAAGATCTACCTTAATAGTATTAATTTTCAAATTGAGTTGAAGGGTGCCTGAGTGGCTTGGTCAGTTGAGCAACCAAATCTTAATTTCAGCTCAAGTCTTGACCTCAGGGTTCTGGGATCAAACCCTGTGTGGGCTCTTGGTTTATTGCGCTCAGCAGGGAGTCTGCTTGTCCCTTTGCTCCTCCCCCTGCTCCTGCTCTCCCTCTCTTTCCCTCTCTCAAATAAATTAAAATCTTTAAAAGAAAATGAGTTGGGGAATCTCCACACTGAACACTGTGGAGATTCCTCAAGAAATTAAAAATAGAGCTTCCCTATGACCTTGCAATTGCACTACTGGGTATTTACCCCAAAGATACAGATGTAGTGAAAAGAAGGGCCATCTGTACCCCAATGTTTATAGCAGCAATGGCCATGGTTGCCAAACTGTGGAAAGAACCAAGATGCCCTTCAACAGACAAATGGATAAGGAAGATGTGGTCCATATGCACTATGGAGTATTA